CTCCTGCTGGGCACCGGCCGCCCCGTCGGCGGCGGCGGCGGCTTGCGGGAGCCCCGGCGCGGGAAGCCCGGCGCCCGCATGAGCCTGCTGGGGAAGCCGCTGGCGTACAGCAGCAGCCAGAGCTGCCGGAGGAACGCCAAGTACCGGCGCCTGCAGAACTACCTGTACAACGTGCTGGAGAGACCCCGCGGCTGGGCCTTCGTCTACCACGCCTTCGTGTGAGTACCCCGGCGCGGCGCGGCGCGGGGCGGGGCGGGGGGGGCAGGTGCCTTACTACTGCTCACCGCCGCCTCCATTCATCCGCGCGCTGCTTCGGGCGGGCTCCGGCCGCCGCGCGGTTGGTCTCGGAGCCTGACACGCTTCCTGCCCCCGAGCCGCTCTGACACGGGCCGTGGGGCTGAGCCGCCCGGGCGCCAAGGACCCTGAGCTGAAGGAATTCTAGGAGGAAAGAGAGGCGCTGTGGAGGTGCTGCTGGCTCTGCACAGGAGCCTGCTTCCCCTTCCATCCATTCAGCAGGTGTCCCGGGGTATGGCCATCTCCCTCTTCTGTCCTGTGGAGTCAGAGCAACGTCCCAATCCGGCTGCAGACTCCCTCTGCCCGGGCTGGGCCTTTTCTAGAGACTTTCAGTGAAGTGCCAGGCTGGTTGCTGGATGCCGGGGGTTGCCCAAGGTGTTCATCTTGTACAGTGTTGTTTTGAAGCGTCCATATCCGGATCTTGCCCCGTTCAGCTTGACCGATGCTTCTCCAACATGGTTGTGCACAATGGGGAACTCCTTTGGCATTTGTACAAAATGCTGTAGGAATAGGTCTGGCCTTTCGCAGTGGTTGGCCCACTCCGTTGCTGCCCGTAGGTTTGGTTCAGCATCCCCATTCTTTCAGGGCTTCATGTATAAAAGGTTCACAATTTACACCTCCATCTGTTTGGGTCTTCAGTTAACGATGGATGGAGCAGGTGATTTTTGTCATCTCTTGCCTTGAGATCACAGCCTTGATCGTTATGAATGCACTTAGAGCTCCAGTGTCATGTGTGTGTTCAGTGGAGTTTTGCAGCCATAGGGACATGTTGTCACTGTTATACTCCTTTCATACTTGACCATTAGTCTTGCGATCATTAGGGGACTTCCAAGAAGTTTCTTGCTCCATGTGTAGAAAGCCTCAAGTCACCTACTTTGTCCTTAATGCCATCTTAACTTGCCTTGCTTTTCCAATGCCATGGTCATTTTTGCTCTCACTTGGTGTTAACAAGTTACTACTTTTCTTTTGGGGCCTGGAGATAAAACCTAAAAGGTTAAATAGATTTGGGGACTAAAATGATTGCATGATTATGATTGTGCCATGTTCTTCAATAAGAATTAATGGTAATACCAAGTGACACCTGCACCAGGGATTGGCTACTTAGGATGAGTTGTACTGAGGTAGGTTTTAACATCCAACCTTAAGTTGTAGTGAAAACTGTGGGGATGCTTGGAAGTGGTTAGTTATTTCAGTATTAATCTGTCTTTATTGGTTGTTCCACTACTACCCAAATATGTGACCATACCACAAAGACACAGCAGCAGAGGTTTGCTGTCCTTTGGAATGGCTAACCCTATCACAACTCCTCCTTTTCTAGCAGGAAGTCATTGCAATCTACCATACTCACAAAAAAAAATAGTTACAATAAAATGGGTCAAATGGGATAGATGCTAAGTACAGGTGAAGACCGTTTCTTTTCAGAGACTGTTTTATATTTGTAAAGCTGTGGAGAATTGCTCTTCAGTATCACACATGATATACGAGGACTGCTCAGTACACTTGACCATAAAAATGATACTGGTTGGTATGTTGGAGAAGATGCAAGGTTACTATGTTTTGAACTTCAGTGAGTTCATTGAAAAGATAGTTGGCAAAGTGAGTCACTATCAGTTGTAACACTTTCAGTTTATTAATTATTAAAAGCTCTGTTTGGTAAAGTATGATCAAGGAATGCTTTATATCATACCAGCATGGGAATCCCCAAATACTACTTTAATAACAGTTTTAATAGCCATGTAGAATATCTTGCCAAGAACCTATGCACTATGATTAATGAGATACTTCACGGGTACATTTACTTAGACCAAAATTGATAGGAACATGCTTAAAGTTACATTTTCTTTGGTAGAAGGTTGCTGTCCACTTAGAGGGGAACAAATAGTTCAGCTTAATGATTCATTGTGCAAATCTACTGTTGAAACTGAATTCTGCTTATATTTGAGCAATTTATTGGGAACACTTTGCTATTTGGGTTTTAACAGGACTTTTATATCTAGGCTATATTATGGGATGGACAGTACTTTAGGAATACTCTGAAAATCATTTCAGTGCATACTGCAACAAATTAAGTTGTCATATAAAGGCCAAAAAATCATTCTTTGATATTCTTCAGTTTAATTTGAAAGCATGATGAAAATTATAAAACAAAATCCAAGATGGAAATGAAGTTGACAAGATTAAACCTATAAAAATAAATTTCCAAACGAAGTGAAGTCATGACACAGCAGCACTGTAAACAAGGAAGATCGCCAGCTGCGTTTAGATAATTGCCTGCATAGAATAAGTGCCAATTTTAATTTTTAATTGCAAATGGCAATTTTGGCAAATGGAAATGCCAACATAGTACCTTTTATTTGAGCAGTTCTGCATGGAAGTGCTAGAAGCACCATTGTAATACAGAGGTGTCTATTAGTAACATTAAATTTAGAGATCTGTCACCTGTTTCTGTTATAACTCCTGTTTCTTTAAGTGCTTTTCAGCTGAGCCACTTCGAGCTCCATTGGATACAGATTTGGCCAACAGTTCGTCAGCTTTGATATAATTTTGAATAAATTATCCAAATGTATGCATATAGTTCTGATTTAATAACAAATGTCTACACAGTTCTCAGTATTTCAGGCACATCCTTTGCCAACCAACTGATTGGTGAATGTAGTTCTCTACACACATTGTAAGAGGAAAAATGGTACATCTTCATTACAAAATATTTTTTTCAAAATGCCATCAAGATACTTACCTTCCTTATTTGCCTTACCTACCCAGTATTCAAATACAGTGTTTCTCTGTAACATTAGTAATGACTTGTCTGTACAGTAGACTTGCCAGGGTAGTTCTTTACTATCGCTCTTATGAATAAAGGCTGCAAATTGTAAGTTTTTATTCCAAGAGATTATATCTCTACTTTAAAATGGCTCTAATTTGAGAGTTGGAATAACATTCTTTTATTTTCTGTGTTTCAGTTTTAAGCTTTACATTGAGAAATTTCCCATTTTTAAGTGGCACTTATTAGTAAGTTTAGAAACAGTGTCACAATAAAACTCTCATGGACTCTTTTCTCATAGAGAATTACTTTGAAACTGGGATAAGCATGTAACATAGTCCAATTTTAAAGGTTGCCCTTTTATATAAGGACTAGGGCCAAAAGCAGGTAACCAAAAGAGGAACTGGTACAGTCAGCTACACTTTAAAAATCAGTGAATTCTAGGCTTATCTTTGTACAATTTTGTCACTTCAAAACAGATAAGACATTATCCTAGAAATACTTGCTTAGGTGTTTGTTATTGGGCATATTCCTTTTGACTTCATTAGAATTATACTGTCAGGCCCATAAAATTGCATGATCAGCATGTACACATGTACAGGAAGCTTCTCAATGAGTGTCCTAAGGACAGGTCTTCATTTCAAAGTTTTTGCAAAGTTTATTTCCAATCTTCTACCCACAATATAGTTCAAATACTTCTAGTTGCATAGGAAAAACTTCTAAGATAACCAGTGCTAGCCATCTCTTTATCTTACCTGACTTGGGGGTGGGATGGGGGGGAGGGGGTCTCTCTCACCTGGCTGGTTTAACTTGGCCTTGGAAGGGCTTGCTTTTTAGTGTGGGTGGTGGCAAATTCACTTGGATACTGATAGTTCTTCCCACAATTCCCCTGAAAGGACAGCTGTGTCAACTGCATGAGAAGTCATTTGGCTGGAAAAGACTCCTGTATCTCAGCAGGTGTATATATCCAATTACAGAAACACTTGGGAGAAAAGGTAGGATATGTGTTTGCTGTAGTGATGTTGACCAGTTTACCCTGCCCAGACTTGAATGGACACACATTTGAAGCTGGTTCAAAAGGGAAATGTTTTAACAGTTACATGTGGGCAAGCTGGGAGCAACACTAACGTAGCAAAACTTTTGAACCCTGGATGAAGTAGTGTTAAAGCTGGACTTGTTTTGCTACGACTATATCATTCCTAGCTTGCCCATGTGTAGCTGTTGGAACATAACCGCTCTTCAGAGGTTCAGAGCAAGAGTCCATCCCCCCCGCCCCCCTTCTAGAACAGCTCCAAAAGGACATGTGTTCATACCCTTAGGTTCAAGTTACACATTACACTTAGAGCATACTGAGGGCACTTAATGCAATCATCTGCATGTTTGCTCATTAAATTGTGTTAAGTGCCCTCTGAGCATCTGAAAGTTCAGGTGCCGCTTCAGGTGAGGGTTACCCTAACATAAGCTAGGTAGCACAGCTCAGAGTTAATTTCAGTCTCCTCCACAGAGGTAAAATAAGCAATTTGTAGTCCTTCAGCTTCCCAGGTTTCACTGCTTCCAACCTCCCCCTCTCCATCTTGCCCCTGAGGCAAACGGGGAGAGAACCCAGGTGTTGTGGCTCCTAGCTATGCACTCTAGTGGCAAGTCAGAGCTGTACAGGCAAGAAACAGTATTAACCCTTAATGTGCGACTGCTCACAGCACATTCTAACTTTAACACTCCTTAACATTCCACAGATTTAGTATAGTCTAAGTGTAATGTGTAACTTTACCCTCAGCTGATTTGTGCAGAAATGCCTCTAAATAGTCTATCCATACTATCCATTGCTGTAGACAAAAAGACAATCGTGTCTTGCACCTAGTGACAAAGTTGGGTTATTTCAGGTTTCCCCCCTCAGTAAGACTGAGTTTGCAACAATATGCTATGTTGCTTTATTTTATATTATTTATAAACATATTATATATTTTACTAATTTTTAAAATATAGAGATTGCCTTAAATTCATATTGTTTCACAGCCTCTTATCTTAGACCTGGATTTGCACAAGCAGTTACAAGCACCCATAGCAAGCTGCCTACATTTCACCCTGTACTCTGCTACGGATATGTTGTGCTAAACTATAGTTAAGTATAAACCTACTGTACCCAAATCAAGATTATTTTGAATT